ATGTACTGTGCGAAATCAATCGATCTTGCAAGAATAAAATTTGGACATCCCTCTTCTAAGAATTCCAATTGAGTGTGTTAGTGTGGCCAGCTCAGGGCAATATGATATTATAAACACAGCACATATCACTTCTCTGCTGTTTATAACTTCATAGGAAAGAAAACATGCCATTCATAACAGTTTGAATGCGGAAACTACTACCAGAAGCAACACGAATTTGCTGCAAGACAGGCATATGTAACGATGACTTAACGCAGCTAAAGTCATGTCTCATTATATACTGTTCTACTGACAACAGGCCAGCGAAAAATCTAACACTCTACAGCAAAACCATCAATTATTATGGGTGTTATAACATAGGTGTGCAGCTGGACGAAACATAGACGTCGAACCCCCGCAGACAATTTAAATACCTTGACGAAACATACACGTCAAACCATGCTGAACGGTTAATTTATCTGGTGTTTTCATCTGTTCCTTCGCTTCATAAAGTCTTTCTCTGTTAACACTGTCGAGTGCTTGTCTGAAGTCTGCAAATAACATACACAAGTCTATGCTGTATTCATAATACTTTCTCATCATTTGTCTTATAACAAAGAGTCTGTAAGTTGTATTTCTATATGGGTGAAATCCACATTGATACTCTCCAATGATCTTTTCAGTTACAATCTTTAGCCTTCCATTTATTACACTAGATAATATCTTATATGCTACGTTCAGTAATGTGATTCCTCTGTAATTTCCGCATTCTAATTTATCTCCTTTTTTAGAATGGGGCTTATGATTCCTGTGTTTCAACTTTGTGGCATTTCTTTTGTTCTCCATATCATAGTGATTAATTTGTGCATGGTGTCTGTTATTCCTTCTTCTCTACACTCAGTCAGTTCTGCTGTTATACCATCTTCTCCTGGTACTTTATTATTCTTTGTTTTTTGAATACATTCTTCTGTTTCCTGACGTGTTGGTGTATTTACCTCTTCATCTTCTTCCTGTTCTTATTTCTTCTTGGTCATTTTCATTCCTCTCTCTTTCTTCATATTCTTTTTTGATGTTTAGTACTTCTTTAAGTGTTCTTCCCATTGTTGTAGTACTTTCCCTTCTTCTCTTATTATTTCACCATCTTTGTTTCTACATCCATTACTTCTTGGTTGAAATCCTTTATTTAGGTTATCTATTGCCCTATAAAATTTTCTTCTGTGATTCTGATCTTTAAATTTATTTACTGCCTCTATCTGTTTCCTCATTCTTCCCTTTTTCATCTTCTTACATATTATATTTGCTTTCCTTTTTAATTGTTGATATCTTTCACATTTTGCTCTTGTTTCTCTTCGTAGCATTCTTTTTCTAGCATGGTTCTTCTCTGATATTACTTTGGCATACTCTTCATCGAACCATTCTTTATTATGCTGATTCCCTTGTTTGCTCACTGTCTCATGTGCTACTTCCTTTATTACTTTTTCTATCCTCTTCCAATTTTCCTCTGATATTCTTGTTTTATTTCCTTTTTTTTTTTTTTCATTGGCACTACAGCCCCAGTGGGCCTAGGCCTACCTCCATGAACTTCTCCGTTCACTTCGGTTTTTCTAGATCTTACACATTCGGTAGGACTCCTTGAGCGGGTGATCAGCTCATCGCAAGGCCTCTACCTGTACACAAACACAGAAAAACACACACACACACAAACTAAACATCCATGCCCTGAGTGGGATTCAAACCCGCGATCCCGGTTTCCAAGCGAGCGAAGATAGTACGTGCCTTAGACCACTTGACTACTGTGACCGGCCCTTCCATCTTTTGTATACTAGCAATTATTTCTATTAATTTAATTTTGACTAAGTAATGGTCTGTATCACAATTGGGTCCTCTGCTACTCTTCACATCTATGACTGAGGTAGAGTGTCTAAACGGTACTTGCACATGGTCTCTTTGGTTAACTTCATTTTATCCTGGTATTTTGCATGTTCCTAGGTGTATATTTTTATGGGGAAATGTTGTGCCTTTTATCTTCAATCAATTTCTGGTAGCAAACTTTTCTAGTGAGTTTCCATTTTCATTACTGATATCGTGTATTGTGTATTCTCCTGCCTCTTTCTTTTGATACGCTTCTTTCCCTGTTTTTGTGTTGAAGTCTCCCATTATTATTGATAAATCATACTTCAGAATTTTATGATAGGTTTCCTCTGATCATTCATAGAATGCTTCTTTCTCTCTTCTTTCTCTTCCATTGGGGCATGTACTGATATTGTAATATTTCTATTTCTCCCTTTCATTCTTAACTTTCAGATTCTATCATCAGTTGTTTCATATTCCGGCATGCTTTCTTTTATCTTTCTTGTTATCATAAACCCTGTTCCAAAATGTCTGGTTCTTTCTTGTGATCCTTTGTATGTTATAGTAAATTCTGGTTTATCTATTCTGCCGGTTCCTTGCCATCTAATTTCTTGCAGTGCCATAATGTCAGTTCTGTGGCATATCGTTTCTTTCGCTACTTCCTGCATCTTTCTGGGTTTCAGCATTGTGCACACGTTCCAAGTTGCCATCGCAGTATCATTGTTCCTTGTCCTTTGCTTAGTCTGTTTTTCATATGTTCCACTTATCTGAGGCTGGTTGTTAGGTTTCTGAACAAAATTCTTTTTACAGGATGAGGTTTTTAGCCCCATGCCCAACCTCCAACCTGGAGGACCAGGGTATCTCTCTTGGTCTGGACTCTACCCTTTGACCTTTCCAGCATGGGTGATCCTACCAGTAGTTAAACTACCATCGGCATAGCTCTCCAGGTCACAGAGTCATGAAACCCCTACCACCACGACAAGGTGGAGGTGGTTTTCCAGTTTTAAAGCTTGATGCATGTTAATAATTTTGTTGATAATTTGGACAGTAGGCTTTGGAGAATATCACATTCAATGATAACTTCCTGGATCATTGTTTGACAAAGTGGCATACATGCTACAGGTGTGTTTATAGTGAAATCATAAAGCACTGGGGTTCAGTTCAATAAAGTATACTTTCAGCAGGGGAGAAGTCAACCACATACAGTGAATGAAATTTTGGATGTCCTCAATGAGAACTTTGGCAATTGTGTTACTTTGAATTGCTCCCCTGGATGTTTGTTTGGTTACAGATAGTTTTGGTCACCATGCTATTCAGATCTAAACCCCTACAGTTAAATTTGATTTGGTTCATCCTGGTCTGTCATATGAGCAATATTATAAAAGGTTATCACCTCTGTCCAGTGTGACTGATATAAGAACAACGCGGCCCAAACAACAGGATGACACTAAAGAGTCTATCAAACGATGGAACCATGCCATGGTAGACATTCCACTTCCTTTAAAGAGAGGCAATATAAAGGACAAGAACCAAATTGGTTCTAAATTTTAACAAAGTCTCTTTAAACCACACTTATAAATAAACTAATTATAATAATTTATGAATATTATAATATATTCATGCACATCACTGTAGTTGTTAAAGGATCAGGTTTAATATTCATGTAATTGTAATGATATTGTATTTATGTATTGAAATTGACCAGTCACATTGTAATAGTAATTTCTGCTTGTATTTGATATATCCTTTTGAAGATGGTCTTTCAGACTGAAACATGTTGAGGATGAAAGGTAAAAAAGGAGAGGAAAAACATTTATCAGTCACATTAGATGGAGTTGATAACTTTTTATAATAACCCAACAGTTACCTTTTAGGGAGTATCTGAAAGACAGTTTGTACAGAAACAACCCCTGCACAATTTGTGAACTGAAAGAAGAAATTTCATCTGTTGTCATCAAAAGCACTGCAGAATCTATATGCAGAGCTGTTGCCATTGTTGACTGTCAACTGCAGATGGTTATTTCAGTGCTGGTAGTTCAGATATTGAACATGTTTCCCACTCATAGATTCTCACAGTTCTTCTATGCTAAGTAATGTCATTCCTGTACATTAAGTATATAAAGCAATGTCATTTCAACTGAAGCATCTTTTCTTATTGACAGTATATATTATTCTTTTAACAGGAGATTTTAAATAATGCCCGAAACAAAGAAAATGTTCCATGCCAGAGAATTGCATTTGTGGAGTCTACTAGTGGCACAGCTGGTGCAAGAGGCACACCAAACCAATTATTATCTTCACCTGCTTCCTCTATTGCATCACCTAAATGGTTTAATGCATCCACTTTATCTTATCCTGGAACTCCAAACAGTAACATCACTGATGTCCGACCACTAGGGCAGGCCTACAGAATGGCTCAGGCAGGCAGTGAGGTAATGTATGAGTAGCAATGTGACAATTCTTGACACATTCACACTCAGAAATATGACACTTGCATTTGGCAAAGACTGGAATACCTGTGTAAATGTATGAATTTACAATTACATTCTTAGTAGTTGATCACCCTCTGTTTATGAGAAATCAAGTCATTGGTTATATCTTTGCAGCATGTTAATGGAGAGCTGCTGCTAATATTGAGTTTTGTGTTTTTTAGATTCTTCTACCCAGCTACCTACTTTATGTTTATTTTTAGGTGCTTGAGCAGACGAACATACCACAAAGGAGTACTGGCCTGGTTTCTAAAGCAATGGAATACGTGTTTGGCTGGTGACATCTTTCAAGCAGAAACCTATTCATTAAATTTACTGTACTCTATACAGTCTGAGGAATTACACTGCTAACATAATGTGCTCTACAACATAATTGACTTGTTAACATTTTATGACTTTTTTTATTTGACTGAGCATTTGACTGAAGCTCTTGATGAGTGGGATAATTGTTTCCTGTAGTAATGTATACCGTTCAAACAAGTTTGGTTAAAGAGTGTATCTCTACAGAGAGATAGTCCCATCCTGAGTCTGCAAAGGGCTGTTCTTTACCTTCCAAATTGGCATATGTGTAATGTGGATTTCTATTTGGAGGGTCATTGCATTTTAATTATGTAGATCAGTTATGAGCAACATGTGGTCCTGTTAACTTCATGCATGATGAGGCCAGTGGTCTAATTTCAGGAACAAGAATCATATAATATTAAAGGCAACAAATAATCTCATATAAATATAAACATTTTATTAAACTAATTTTGTGTTTGCTTTCAGTACAATTCATATATTAAAAATATGAAAATATAATTCAAACCTAAGTTAAACTTGCATGTTAAAATAGATGCAGCTGGCAACTAGGTGGTATTGTAGTCATGAGTTGACCATAAAACAATATCTCTTAATATAATATAGTACAGTTTGCTATGGTTTCTTATACGTTTGTATAATATAGTAAACTGTTTTACCACCTGCAGATTTCAAGTATCTACAGTCTGCCTTTTATATCCAGCTTTGGACACCATGGTATTTGGTTTTAGTTTGTGTGCACACACAAGATCAGAATTGACTGGAGGTCACAGGGTGATGGCATTTGAAAGCTGTGTGTCCTCCAGTTTTTGTATTACGATTGCTATGTATCTTTTCTCTTTTGTAAGGCTGACAACCCCACTGCCATCTGTGAGCCGGTTGTATAGAAAATGTGGGACCCTCAATATCTCAGAACCCTATGGGGGCCTGCTTGGCCGGTTACAGGGATAGCTTTACTTTATTGTGCATCTGTCTCTTGCTTTATGTATTGTGTGTCCAATTTACATCTGAATGTGCTGTTACATGTGTAATGTACCTGTTTTATGTTAACATCCTATGGATTCCTTTATGGTTCTGCTGACATTTAAAACTGGGCTTATTTTTGCTGTGTTATTGAGTTTGATTTACGGCCTTATGCTTTTGTTTGATTCCCCACCCATCTGCAATTTTCCCCTGCAGTAAATTAGCTCCAATGCCACTGGGAGTACTAGTTATCATGTGCACTGTGCAGTCACCCTTGGGTGTCAGACAGGCTTACCTGATGTCACAACTGTTATCACCAATAATTACTGTCATGTGTCCAAGGTTTGCATGACTAATAAGACGGGTTTTGGATTTGATTGAATTTATTGTACCTTTATACAACTGGTTATAACGGTTCATAAAATCACTATCTGACACACTGTCATCTTCCAACTGGACACGTCATGGCTACTATTCTGACTTCCAGTTATTGTTGGCTTCTCATTATATAACCTAAGTTCTGGCCACAGGACAGAAAACTCATCCTTTGCATAGCAATGGATATATGTGAACCCACAGAAAACACCTCATGTAACACTAGTTCTATTGTGTGTGTATGTATGTATTGTGGGCATTGCCTAGAAATGGGTCTGCTATGTTGTTGGTTGTATATTTGTTGTGGGCTTGTTTATCGAGCATAAAATTATGTACAGAATACTTCTCATGTTAAGAGGAATCAACATGGAAAAGGCTTGAGCATCCAGGTAAGTATGTATCAATTTAGAACATGTTTTTGAAAGCAGTACTAACATATTATTCAGTTCCTATTCCCATAAGTTTGGATTGTATCTCTACTTCGGGATCAATGGCATGACTGGTCTTCATACCATAACTGGAACTGCTGTGATGGCACAGGTGGGTACCTGGAATATACTGCTTCATTACCATTCCCTCAAGTTAACAGTAAACATGATTCTTGATATTTGGGGTAGCCAGTCTCTGCCTTGTCAGCCTTTAAGAACAGTAATTAATAATCTAACTTGTAATAATATAGTCACTAACTGTTAAATGACAGGGGATGAAGAAAATATGCAACTTTTAAGCCAAATTTATCCCTTCCACTGCAACTGCGGTTTAAACATTGTACTGCCTTGCCACATAACCTATTACAGATTAACATATAAGAATAAAATTTAAACCAAAGAGAAAATTTCCTTCTAAATCTGAACTTCTATACTAGTAATAAAGACATTTATAGCCAAATAAAGTTTGAAAATTGAACTTGCAGATTTCAAGGATCGTACTATATGCTACCCTCTGAGTCCTTTTGACTTCCGGTCACGTATGTGCAGATATATTCATTTCCTTGCTAGTGAAAGGCCATTTTCCCCCACTTCCCTTGGTCATTGAACGCTATAAAGTCCAGTCGCTTGATGCGGCGGAAATAAAATGATGGAAGTCCTTAAGGAACGTAGCTGGCAAGATCAGTCACTGCCGACTACTGCACTAGAAGGCGCCCGATACCTTCTCGACAATCCTAGTACCCGGTTAAAAATTCAACAATTTTCGAGTTATGGGCTTACAAAAATTGGCAATAAAATGGAAATTTTGTATCCGGGGATCAGGATCATCGAGGAGGTACAATGAACTTTTAATGTTTTAAAAATCAGGATGCTACGACGTCCAATCGCGTGATAGGGGAGGAACAAAATGGCGAATGCTGGAATTCTGCGTCCAATCACATGAACAAAATGGCGACGGAAGTAGGTAAAGAACTTAGCTGGCCAGATGATTCACTTTGGCGACCCTAACATTATAAGAGGCCGCCCAATACCTCCTCGACTGTCCTAGTACCCGGATAAAAATTCAACAATTTTCGAGCTGCGGGCTTACAAAAATTGGCAACAAAATGGAAATTTTGTATCCGGGGATGAGGATCATCGAGGAGGTATAATGAACTTTTAATGTTTTAAAGATCAGGATGCTACGACGTCCAATCGCGTGATAGGGGAGGAACAAAATGGCGAATGCTGGAATTCTGCGTCCAATCACATGAACAAAATGGCGACGGAAGTAGGTAAAGAACTTAGCTGGCCAGATGATTCACTTTGGCGACCCTAACATTATAAGAGGGCGCCCAATACCTCCTCGACTGTCCTAGTACCCGGATAAAAATTCAACAATTTTCGAGCTGCGGGCTTACAAAAATTGGCAACAAAATGGAAATTTTGTATCCGGGGATGAGGATCATCGAGGAGGTATAATGAACTTTTAATGTTTTAAAGATCAGGATGCTACGACGTCCAATCGCGTGATAGGGGAGGAACAAAATGGCGAATGCTGGAATTCTGCGTCCAATCACATGAACAAAATGGCGACGGAAGTAGGTAAAGAACTTAGCTGGCCAGATGATTCACTTTGGCGACCCTAACATTATAAGAGGCCGCCCAATACCTCCTCGACTGTCCTAGTACCCGGATAAAAATTCAACAATTTTCGAGCTGCGGGCTTACAAAAATTGGCAACAAAATGGAAATTTTGTATCCGGGGATGAGGATCATCGAGGAGGTATAATGAACTTTTAATGTTTTAAAGATCAGGATGCTACGACGTCCAATCGCGTGATAGGGGAGGAACAAAATGGCGAATGCTGGAATTCTGCGTCCAATCACATGAACAAAATGGCGACGGAAGTAGGTAAAGAACTTAGCTGGCCAGATGATTTACTTTGGCGACCCTAACATTATAAGAGGCCGCCCAATACCTCCTCGACTGTCCTAGTACCCGGATAAAAATTCAACAATTTTCGAGCTGCGGGCTTACAAAAATTGGCAACAAAATGGAAATTTTGTATCCGGGGATGAGGATCATCGAGGAGGTATAATGAACTTTTAATGTTTTAAAAATCAGGATGCTACGACGTCCAATCGCGTGATAGGGGAGGAACAAAATGGCGAATGCTGGAATTCTGCGTCCAATCACGTGAACAAAATGGCGACGGAAGTAAGCAAAGTTCGTAGCTGACAAGATACATAGGAAAGGAAATTCTGTATACGAATATCAGGAGGTACAATGCGCTATTTAATAATTTCAAAATATGAACGTCACGTCGTCCAATCGCATGATAGGGGTGGAACAAAATGGCGAATGCTGGAATTATGCGTCCAATCACAAGAAATATGGCGACGGAAGTATATAAAGAACGTAGCTGACAAGATGATCCATTTTGGTTACAATAGAGGGCGTCTTATACCTCGACTATCCCAGCGCCTGGATATAAATCCGACATTTTTTAGCAAGAGGTTTACAGAAATATGGAACAAAATGGAAATTCTGTATTTGGGTATCAGGATCACCAATGAGGTACAATGCACTTCTAATATTTTAAAAATATGAACACCAACGTCGAATCGCCCGATGAGGAATAAATAAAATGGCGATATTCCGATACTGGACTTCCAATCGAGTGCTGGGGATGGAAGTTGGCAAATAACTTACCTGGCAAGATGATTAACTTTTCCGACTACAGTAATATAGGGCATCTGATACCTCCCGGACTATCCTAATGCCCGGATATAAATCAAACATAGTTCAGGCTTACGGCAAAGAAATGTACAATTATCCGGGTATTAGCATCACCATCGAGGTATAATGCACTTTTAATATCATCATAATATCGCAATTTTGTTGCTAGTCTGGAAGCTACAACGTCCAACCCCACGATGGGGGCCGAAACTAAATGAGGATGGAAGTCGGCAAAGATGTTCCACTTTGGCGACTACAGCAGTGGAGGCCGGCTGATCCCTCATCCATTTTCCTAATAAAAATTAACTATTTTCGAGGAATTGACTAAAGGAAATTGGAAACAAAATGGCGATTTGTATCCTGGTATTAGCATCACTATGGATATGTGCGACATTTCTATGTTGAACATCATTTTCATATGCGATTGGAAGTCTTAGCTGGGAATGTGTCAGTTTACGTTCTTGACTGGATACTAATTTAATGTGTAAAGCTT